AGGACCTTCTTCCTACAAGGCAGCAGTGATAACTGCTCCAAAGTTCATCCCACGTTTGAATTCAGTAGAAGACACTAAGTTGCAATGACTGTTGCAACAAATGTTGCCTAGTGGGAGGCAGTGCACTGCTAATGTTTGTGCTAATGTTAGCCTGAGAGAAAAAGATAGTAAAGGCTAATATTAGTTCACCGCTTAAGGTGCACTACTCTGAGTCGAATATTTAGGCTTTTATTTTGAAATTTTCGGTAAGTTTCATTTTAAATGGCCACACTACCCCAATGTGCAACAGTGATTTGGTTAAACCATTATGTAATGCCCAAAACGTTCTGCCATGTCTGTAGTTGTAACATTCTGCTCAGGCTCCTTCTGCAGGAACTCAAGAGTTCCACCATCATGATGGTTTTTATCTGCCAACTCAGCTCTCCTCTGTAATAATTGAGTGTTTTATCACCACTACATTCTGTAAATTCACCTCTTCTGCCTATTTTGTCAAAGCTTCTGCAATCATCTCCTGAATAAGAGGCTCTTACATTCTGGAGGGAAGGGCAGTGACTCTAGGGCTGACGGTTTTCTGTCAGGGCGCTTCAGAGTGAAATCGTGACAGGGTGAACTCAGGCTCTCAGCCATTCATTTTCATTCTTTTCTCAAAAAGTTTCAGTGCTCAGCATACACCATCTCAGTCTCATCGCTGCTACTACTGAGTGAGTTACAGATGTGAATCCTGGTACTATCGGAGACAAAAAATGGCCATCCTATATGCTTCAAATGGATTTCGAATACGTCTCACAGTTGTTCAGACTGCTTTTTTCAGAAAAGCTGACCTGGTGTCTCACAAAGATAGAATTTTTTCTCCACCTTTCTGTCTCACACACACACACGACAGTTAGCAGAGGATCAATTACTGTAGCGACAGAACACAAAGAAGGGAAGAGCTTCTAGTTTGGACCAAACACCCACAATGTATTTTTATTTTATTTTATTTTTTACAAAGGAAGATATTAAGAGGGGTGGGGTGCATTGGCTGGTGATGGGATTGTTCATGCTGTCATCCTGTAATGCAGAGTGTTACATAGAATACTCTATGTAATGCGATGGCAGACCCCAATTATAAACAAGTTTTCAGGGTTAAACCTTCAAATCAGCACATCTAACTATCACACCAATGCACAACCATTGGATTATTTTATGTGAGAACAGACTGGAGTTGTGTTTATTCATCCAACCTTAAAAATTAAGGAAATTGTTAGAGTAGCTTTAGGGCCAAATAACTCAAAGTACAATCATAATTGGCCATAATTATGATTGTACTTTGAGTCACTTTCATATCTATAACTTCATCTGAAGTTTTTTTAACTCCAGATGAAGTTATCAAAAATGGGTACAGACAGTTTCAGCTGAGTGTACAAACAATTTACAGAGATAGTGATCCATGTCCTCTCAGTTGCTAAACGTTATTTATTACACTGTTTCAAAACTCTTGGTCAAATTTTCTAACTCTTCCTTTGTGATAAATCAGGTACCAGTCTTCTTCAGAAGTCACAGTTTGTTCTCAATATGTCTGTTGTTTAGCTCCATGTTTCTTTACGAGGAAAGAGGCGTTGCTCCATTGCATAACACTGTCTACTGTTTCCTGGGAAGTTACAGACCGTCTTTGCTTATCAACAGAATCAGGTCACTTTGACTATTGTTGATGCAGGAGAAAAGACAGATTTTTCACCCTCAGGATATTCTTCTAATTTCAGAGAAGGTTTTTTTCCCCTGTGTAAAGGACTCAGTTTTGGAGCATGTCTTGGGATAGACCCACCCACTGGACAAAAGCCTCTGGAGTCCCTGTTGTTGTGTGAGCTGATTACAACAGGTTCTCATATGCAACACAGACGCAATTTATTCAGCTGGAGCTCAGCAGGACCTGGCTGCCTGTCAGTGTTTTGTTTTTTATACTGACTGCAAAGAGTGATTTTGGGACTTTTGCCCCCACGGTTTACAGCAACTCCTTCTATTTGAGAGTAAACCTCAGGCCTACCTAGAAAATCTGAGCTCAGCCCTTTCATTGTAAAATGACCTCCATGTTTTGCTCTTGTGGCAGGATGAAGACGACCACAGAGGCCTTTGACGTAGCTGTGCCTCTGCTGCTTAGAGCGCAAATTCACAACTTCCTGTCTCTGAGGTGCAACCACAGAAAAGACAAAATCAGGCCTACAGCTGCTGAGATGAAACTGAAAAATGTAGAATTTGCAATTTCAGCTTGTAGATTCTGATTTATGTCAAGACACAGGACTCATTTCAGCCTTCTGTTTCCTTTTTGTTGTTCATACATACTTTGTTTCTGCTTTCAGATAACAGAACCCTGATGGCCAGTTGCCATGGGGAAAAGTGGACACTTAATCCTGGGCAGGAGAGACAAGGAGCCGTGTTTAATCAGTCTCATCCTTACAACCACCAGCTTGCCCACATGCACTTAAACCACTATCAGAGTGACCACCTCTGAAAGCAGGAAACTGCGTGGTTTACTGGTCTGAACCAAGTAGGTGTGTGCTAGTCCACTAAAGGGGAAAGATACCCTTTTCACTCAGACTCCACTGATAACTTTGCTGATCTTTACAAAAAGTCCTCAAACAAGAAGTATCATTTATCTTATGCTCTATTTAGGCTTTGTTGCAAAGGTAATCAATGTGAACGTTGGGAGCATATTTTCACTGACGTTAATGGTTTCATGCTTTAAAGAAAATTGTAAAATGCTGCTTGCAAAAGATTTAAGAATTGAAAAGAGTCGGATGTTGCTAATCAAATCCACTTCAATAACTGATCATCAGAAAGATTTTGTATCTCAAACAGGGTTGGTCAAGCAAAATGCCAAGGAAGAAAGAAATCAGTAATGACTTGTGAAAGGCATCCTGTCAACCTGCAAAGGGTAAAAAAGGCCATTTCTGAAAGATTTGATGTTTAGCATTTTACAGTCTGAAAGACGCTGAATCAACCGGTAATGGTATTTATTTTATTCTCAAACTGGAACCTTTATAACCTTTTGTGCTCTGTTTTCCCAGTGAAGCTGCTTTTCTGGAGGCCCTGAATGTTTTTTTTTTTAAATGGGTTCCAGAAAAAAATTTTTGCACTCTGGGATTTATTGAGAAACCTCTTGTGAATAGTTTCCCAACTCCAATTTTTATAGTGTATAATGCTCTATAAAAATTCCCAAATGCTTAAGATACTCATTACAGAATGATGGTAGTTTTCAGAGGGATTGCAAGAAATGCGCTCTAAAAAATATAGCAGTATGATTGATTGTTGCAGCTGGTTGAAGCACCAGACATCTAGAATTATTATGTTATTATTATTTTTATGTTTTGGTTTTTCTAGATTTGGGTAGGGGACTAAGAAATAGTTCAGAATGCATTTCTAATCTAAAATATTTACATTTCTGCAGCCTTAGCTCAAAAAATTCTCTCTCTTTTTTTTTTTAGGAAATTGACTCCTCTTTTTATTTGTATCTACCACAACCCTAATGCAGCAGTTGTTTTTTTCAGATTTTGTGAAAATTGATGTGATCACATATTGATCACATAAATTTCCTGTAAATGCACTGATGGTTATAATGGCAATGTGATCAAATCGAGAACAGTAACAGAGGTATAGTTTTTGCAAAGTTCTACATATTTGTTTGTTTTTATTTCCACATGGAACCAAACCTTCATTATGGGGACAGAACGAAGCCAACTTTGTCTGGGATGTCAAAGCTCGTGCTTAAATTAGACCCGGACTCGCTGCGTTACTTATGTATGGATTTGGATAAAGCTTTCAGCAAGTCTCATGTTTCCACACTCAGCAGGATTATAAAGAGGATTGCTGAACCTACACTAACGGCTGCTACTTCAGTACAAATACACACAGGTTCACAGTGGAAGCTTTCCCTCTTTACAGGCTAACTGTTCAGCTAAGTGAATGTTTAGATATATATAAGGAAGATTATCTGAGAATATCAGAATGCTTTTATGACCGAATGAGGTGACATTGACTTTACAAGTTGTTCAGCAGCTGATCAAACAGGTTAAAGATGAAACGAGTCACATGCAAAATAAACAAAAACTCATGGTGGCCATCAGGTTTCTTGTGATGGTTTCTCATGTGAGGAGATAAATAGTGTGAATGGTTTTGCTGTTCAGTGGAGGGGGGTTCACATCTTCAGAAGCAAGAAAATTCAGTCGAATGACTGAAAAACAGAAGGATTTGGGTTTACTGTTTGGGCCACTATTAATGATTTGTGAAAGGGAAAAAGTGAGTCACTGTCCATCCAATGCAATCACCCACAAACGTCATGTGCTCGTCTCCTCCAAGGACATCAGGGAAGACATTTTCCCCGTAGGCGCAGAGTGCACCCAGCTGCGCCCAGTCATCTCTTAATAACCAGGAAGTGAAGCCTGTTAATCCTGTCTTCCAGCTCCAAAAGGTGCGTTTCTGTTTCTGTAATCGCATCGCAAAGCTGCTACGTCTAGCTTGTTTTTCTGGATTTACATTGTTTAGGGAACATGTATTTAATAATTGTACAGGACAGCCATCAGTAATTAATGTTTTGTTTTGTGCAAGGTGTTAAGCATTATGCTGTGAAATAATCTACCTTGATGTTTTCAATTTGCTTATAACAACCACTTCTACCACCAGAAATTTACAATCTGGGGGACAAATAAACCATTGTTCTGTTCTTTTCTATAAAATACAATAAATGTCCCATTTTTTTTTCCATAGGATTTATATGAAACGGGTCCACTCTTTTCTGCTATAACGGATTTCATTTCTCGGGAAAACTATCCAAATGGTTAGTGGGAAAATTGGTAAGTAGATTAACGTTCATGTACTTTATAAGTAAGTATGATTAGAAAGATATCAAATATCGCATTATGGAGAAGATACTGTCTAACCATCAGTAACCACGGAAACAATGCCTCGCCATCATGTAGCCTAGCATGTATGGAAAAAAATTATTAGCGTCTCGTCTTCTGCACGTTTTTAAGGCTGCTCCGGTTTATGACACAGTGACAAATCATGTGGTGTAAATTCAGTCAAAGTCAGTAATTTGATCAACATGTCAGGCGGGAGGAGGTACGGGTCGGTTCCTAAGCTAACTGTTTCAGACTTCTGTAAATACTGAAACCCGCTCAGTTCAATACTCCAGATTCTCACTTCCAATTTACATCATGGCGCTTCGAATGATTAAGTGACGCATGTGCAAAGGGTCAGTACTTGGTCAGTACTTTGTCAGTACTTTGTCATAAATGCTGTTTTGACCTAAATAATGTAATATATAATCTGGAAGTCATCTGGCTAATGACTCGAAGATTCGTGCTGACGTCTAAGTGCCAAATAAACGCAAATCAGTCTGATTAAAATAGCAAATGTGTGCTATAGATCTGACCCTCAGTGAAATATTTAGCTCCCCCTTAGCACCTGCAGGAAAAACAATTCAAACAAATACAAATTCCCAGTTTATTCACAGAATCATCTTCATTTCCTGGGTAAGACACAGCTTTAAGATGGAGTAATGACTTTAAAATTGTGTCAATACATGAATTTGAAGCATACATCCTTCATTCATTTTGAATCTGATTATTCTCTGAAAGTCAAGCCATGAAAACATCATCCTTATCCAAGCTCTGGACCTGATTGCATGCTGTCAGTGACGCACATGTAGCAGTGGAAACACACACACTCCAACCTTGTCCTCCATGACGGTGACCTTCTCAAACAGCGGAACAAATCTTCATGCATCATTGCTGTTGGCAACAAGGCCTGGTCAGTGTCCCATGTGCTATCTATCTCCAAGGTTGAGTCAAAGCTCACACAATAAGCCAAAGACGGCTTATGAAAGTGTTATCTTTTCAAGACTTTGCATGTCTTGAAATGATTGATGTTTTTTTTTTGCAGCAGAGCTCTTTCTGGGGATCATTTAATTCACATCTTGACTTTTACAGATTCCACAGAGCGATGTAGACGGTGCACAATCAGCTGCACGTTGTTTAATGACGCAGAGCAACAGGACAACAGACAATGGCCAGACTTGATCAACCGCCACACATCAACCGCCACAAACGTTGACTGACAATGGTTCCTGTCAAACCAGTTGGTCCCACCATGCCTGCACCTCCATCCCTGAAAGGGATGGGTAACCTTTTCAGTACGAAGAATCACTTTTGCTTTCATGCTTGTGGAAGAACATTTTTCTTGAGCCCAAAAGCCTGCTTGACACATTATATTTCTATACATAATACATTATATTTAGATAATAGAAATGCAGATCATATAGAATTTTCTCTGACCTGAGAAGAAAAAACAGGCCAATGGATCCCCTTATAAATATATATATTTTTATTGAAAATATATAATCAAAATAAGCCCATCTCAATAAAGAAAGTGCAGTGTAACAAAACATAAAACAACTTTGTACAATTATTGCCGGTCTATAGTGAAAAACCTACGCAGAGACAGCATAAACTAACATGGAGGAGTTGCTAAATTGGCAGTATTTACTTTTAAAATAATGTTATGTTTTGTTTAAAATATTAAGAACCACTTTTGAGGGGCAAAAGATTGCAAACCCCTTGCCAATACCATTACTTTCTTTCTGGTCAGCACCAGGGTAAAAACCAATTTCTCTCCTTTGCTGTAAAAATGATTCAGAATCTAAAAGTGAGAATATGGCATCTGCAACATAATGTGAACTAAAGCAAACAAGTCACCCTGAAACTAGCTTCTTTGTGATTTATTTCTATATTTGTGAAACTCTGTTTTAAAATTAATGTTTGTTTTTCTACCCAGAAATATTTTATCATAACTGCACAGATGGGAAAAAGGAAGTGCACATTTGCTTCAAGGACTCAACAACTGATGTCAGCAAGGTGGAATAAACCAAGATGAAGCAATCTATCAGAAACAATGTCAGCGGGTTTTATTAGGGCGTCCTGATTTGATGTGTAATTTTAAAGAGACAAGCTGATGCACACTGGAGGAGGACTTGCGTCACACATTGCACAAGGCTTCATTGCTATGGTTTCACTTCCTGCACATGTGGCAGATCTGCTACAGGCAGCCTGTATGCTGAACGAAAGCATTAATCCCCTTAGATTCCTCCCACACAGCATGTCTGATCTTTTCTTTGAAGCTCCTTAAAATGCATCAAACTAACCTAATAGAGCTTTACCTCAGATCAAAGGGCGTTAAACCTCACATCATAAATTAGCATTTAATTTTATCTCCATATCTCTGGCTCTAACCTCATACTATTGTTGAAAATAGAGTCAAGATCAGTGTTTCCTTTAAAATGTAACACATAGGCAGAGCTGAAATCATTTTGAAAGCCATCTGCTCAGTGTGGTCTCTGTGATTAGAGGCTCATTCTGCAGCAGCCTGATCACAGAGCACAGACAGGCAGGCAGGCACTCACATTTAAAAGCCAAGTATGGTAATTCCTGCTTGGAATTTCAGCTTTCATGCAATTTCATCAGGACCATCTGAGACAACAAGTTGTTGTCACAGCCTGCACAAAATCTGTTGCAATATCCCAGACTCCAACAATGAGTCATAGGTCAATGCTGCCAGGGTAAACCTCAGTACACAGAGTCCAACTTTTTAACATAACACATTGTTCTAAGCAGGAATCTGCAATCACACCATTAGAGTAGAATATAATTAGTTTTACCTTGGCAACACAAAGTGGATGTTTCTATTAAATTTAGTCCACCAACAAGCTAACCGAGGAATGATAATTTAAGTGTTTTCCAGATTTTAAACCAGAAATTCCAACGAAGAAGAAAAAATTCCCACCAGTCTGAAATGCATCATTATAAGTCAGAAGCTCTAGAACTGAAAATCGATTGTGGCTCCTTGAGAGCTAAACGTTAGTTTATTTACACTTTTGTCTAGTTGTATTCTACTCAATCAGCCAGTGTTTAAGTTGCTATTTTAAGTACGTAGGTAGAAAGTGTGTGCAGATGTTTTAGTTCCCACCTGCTGCCAACGATGAACCGGGTCTGGACTGGTGGTCTGTTTTGTGCTTTTCTCAAATGGATGGTTGTGGTGTTTGCTAAGCTTTTTACATACAAGTTCTTCATAGTCTGGAACACATATTTCCTTATCAACCACCTTAGCAGCAGTTTCCTTATTTCTGAGGTAATTTTAATTTAAGAAAGAAAAAATGGCTTTACTCTTTCATTAGACAAAAAAACTACAAGTAAGACCCATAACAAAGGTTTCCAGCAGCTCTCTCTGTATTTATAGTTTGCTAATTAGATTGAGATTGATTTCAGCTGGACTGTTTCACAGCTTCCTGCTCTGATGATCTGATTAAATTGTAAGATGGTTATTTAATGATTTTGTTGTCAGGGTGACAACAGTCTACCACAAAGTATGTTAAAAGTCTGAACAGTGAATTAAACCACTTATTTGCACTTTTGTCTGTTCATGTCTATTTACTGACAGTATAAGAATGTTCACTTAATTACAGGCAAATGTGTGTTTATTGCATAAATTCAAAACAAATATCACGTCACTGCACTTTACATAGAAATGATCTGAACAACATCCAAATAAAAACACTGAAATGATAAAATTCACTTCATAACAGTGTCCTTAATGTCAATACAATCCGATACAGTCTAATTCAGTCCAAACTATAACACGTTACAGTCATAATGAGTTAGTCATTTAGAGCCAATTAGTGAAACATATGAGGAAACAGAAGAGAGGAATGACTTTCTTCACAGGAAGAAACTTTTTGATCTTCATTAAAGAGTTTGTGCAACAAATAGAACCAGTTAAACCCATTCATGTTTTCAAATATCAAAGTAAACGGTCAAGTGGACATGCTCTCTGCTTTGTTAAATTTTTATTTCCATTGACAAGGTCAGTGCATCTTATTTGAAATCCAAACGTTTCATCAAAATCTAAATGTCTATTTGGTGCTATGCTATCAAACTATGTCACTTAGTTGTAAGTCTGTGGTCACAGACTAGCAGACACGCTGGTGTGAAATTTAAAGTAATCACAAGCAGAAGAAAATGTCAAACAGCTACAACTGAACCCAAATCAGATATTTAGCAGCAAATCTGTGTTGAAGACAGCCTGACAAGTCACTCTGAACTTTGGCAGAATAACATTGTCATGATGCCATAACTTCAAAGAATCACAAGTTTCTACGCTGATAAATTTCTAAAAAGCAAAAAAAAAAAAAAAAAAAAAAACTACTGTATTTGGATAAAGAATTCGAGTGTGGGACTTTGAGAGCGATGTCAGTGCCCTTAACTGTTTAAGTAGCGATAAGGGAGAGCAAAGAGCTGCAGCAGCTGCTGGAGAATTTATCAGCAGGACAAAGGGCTGGCCTCAGCCAGTGTGCATTCGGGAACTGATTAAAGCACATCTAGAAGTCAAAACAGCACCGTCATCTAACAAAATACAGGCCTCTCTTCTAAGCAACAATAAAAGATTACAGAGAGCATTGTGTCCAATTAGACTGTGTTTGTGATCTTGTGTCTCAGCATAGAAACAAGGATAGAGGTTAAAAAATCAATGTTTTAAAAAAATAGTTTTATTTCTAAACAATTATGTACATATTTAAACAATTCCTAATTCTTTAGTTTGACATTCTCGTAATGTTTTGAAGAGGATTTGAATCAGCATTGCTTTAGGTTTTATAGACGTCAAGTAAAGTTTTTCTTCAGACTTTAGCTACTTTAAAACAGATTTCTTTTGACATATTTGTCACAATAGTTTTCAGAATATCAATCAGTTTGAAATTTAAAAAGAAATCAAGCACAGGAAAAACAGCAAAACAATAACAGAATGACGACTAAAACGTTTTGGACATTAATGTCTTCTTTACGTCTGTAGATCCGGGACTTCCAACATTGCAACGTAGAAGCATTTTTTATAGAACACAATTATTTTTTGAACATTTACACCCCTAATTTGCACATTAAGATTTAAAATTATCTTTATTTAACTTAGAAGTTTGTTAAATAAAGATAGGCAATATCTCTGGTAGGCAATAAGACAGCCAACTCTCAAAAAATAGTAAAACAATGTATGAGGGTAAACGCTGGAAAAAAAAAACATTTTTATCTACATTTCATAAAAAATGAAATGTTCAAAAATATTTGTCTTTAAATTTTTGATAAGTTTGTTTCCTCTTGTATTTTAAATATTTATCTTCAGTGATGAGCAATAACTCGTATGACTCAAGTCTGCCTCCCTTCACTCGAATCTTTAACTTCACAGATTCTGTATCAGATTCAGGATTGGACTCCAGCTGTGATGGCCCAAAACAATTATTTTAATTACTTTAAGCCTAAATGTGCCAGAGGTTAATCGTTTTGGGCAGTTACAGGGTTCTTTCAAGTTGAATTCTGACTCCTAAGCTCAGAAAGACCTAATGTTACTGCTACACTATTAGAAAACTTTTTTGTTAGTAATTCAGATTCACAGAAGTTATGTGTGAAAGCAACAGCGAAATTAACTTGGTACCAAGAGCTTTAATGTCATCTAAAATATTTTGTAATTCAATCAGCTCAACTTAGTCTTTTTAGCCTTCAGTCTAATTACTTGGTATTTTACTTACATGTGTAATATGTTTAACATCTATTCTTTAGAGCCACTTATTAATACCATTTTAAATTCTTACACTCAGTTTATTTATTCTTATTTTTCCACCCTGAGGCAGAGATTCTAAAACTAAGAGAGAAGTTAAGAAGATTTCCCAGATATGTTTTTCCTCTGGCGTTCTGCAGAACTACCATCCCCCATTGGTCCAAGGCTGAGCTCAGACTCTGTGGTATTTTAGAAATGTGTGTTGGCTTGTTGCTGTCTCATTTCCAAATCTGGGCCCTCCTTTTTACCATATGAAAATCTTCTCCACTCATGCCCAGTTACACACTTTCTCCTTTCTGGCATGGAAAAAAGGCTGGAACTATTTTCACAAAAGGAAACTTGACAAGAAGTTGCTGGAAGTTTTTTTTTTTTAGATTTCAATTTTACTCTTGGTGGAATAAACATAATTTTCAGGAAATGACTTGCCCACAATGTCACTTTTACTTCTCCAAAATGCTAAGAAGTTTCATTGACATAAAGGCAAAACTGGTACAAAAGAGATCCCCACTTCCCAAACCTAAAACATATTTTAGTTTCATTATCTGTGGTTGATTCTCTAAATGTTGTACATTTAACAAAACATTTTATAGTAAACAAAAGAATGTCCTTAAGTTGACAGTACAACAAAAGGTGATTTGAATTACAAACTCATGAGTGACATTGTTTAAAATAATAAATCAACAGCATTAGGGGGTAACAGAGTGCAGAGCTGTTCCAGCTCACACTTATCAAGATCTGGTTCTAACAAGTTAAAATGTTAATAGATCACCACTTCAACAGGTTTACAACTTCAACATAGTCTCGTGTTCACTTATTATGTGCTGTCTGAAACGAAGTTTAAAGACAAATGGGTGAAACACGAATTGGACATTTTAATGTTTGGGGCCATTGATATAAAATTTACACCAGATGTCAGCAAGTTATCCACACATACAGATGAACAAATTACTCCATTAACCAACTACTTAGTAGAAATTATGTAATGAAAGACACAGAAGTCCAAAAAACAGTTGAAATCTGTCAGTAGTTTGAAAGACTATTTGTAAACTGATATCAACTAGTTTACTATTAGCTAGGGTAATAAAATAGTTTTTTATTATCTGAGTATTGCAGAGAGTGATACAAAGGGTGAAAGTAATGTCAGCATTCAAAAACATTAATGTAACGATTCTAGTAATGGCAAAGTCTTCACCGATTTCTGTAAACCTCTAAATGTTTTAGTGAGCACTGCTTGAGCGATAACACAAGCAAAAATTAAAAAAAGTCACTATAAACCAGACACCTAAAAAGACATATGTCTTGACATAGCTGGTAAAGTTTTCTTTTATATTAAATCAGGGAATAATGCACACAATCCCAATGATAGTAATGATTCACTGCACCAGACCTCACTGCTGAAGAAAAGACATGTTGAAGGTTGTTTTAAGTTTGCTTTGGAAGATTTGTGACAGTCAGTGAAAAAATGTGAGCATCTAATCTGGTCAGATGGGATCAAAACTGAGCTTTTTGAACACAACATGTTCAATGACATGTTCATCAGTGAGCATGAGATTAAACCTCACATGGCACTGCAAAAAAGTAAAGTCTGCAGGTGAGAAAAACAGCCACAGACCTTCTTTGTATAATTGTGTACAATTATGACTGAAGGCATTGCAGTATAAAAATAACGTGCATTTGTGCAAAAACAACATTCAAATTTAGAACCATTCATATTTTACTTGACAGCAACTTTCTAAAGTAGCCTATATGATTCATGCATTTTGTTTACACTGCTGCTTTTAATGAGTTTTTAACAAGAATGAATTAGTAACTGACTGTGAGGAATTTATGACTTAACTTCCCTCTGTTATAGCTTTCATAATATTTTACAGAAATGTAAACAATAGCCTTGTTTGGCGTTTTCAAACTTTATTGATAGAGTAGAGATAGAAAAGGCTCTTATCACCCTTTGTGATAAGAGACCTCCATTCTTTCAACTGGATATAAAGTTTGCCCAGACAAAATGTACTGGACATAAAGTAAATTGATAGAAGAAAAGAGGAAGTGATATAAATGCTCTGCAGCTCCACGAAAAGCAATATTCACACATCAGAACTCAGAATAGGGTTAAAGGTCACTCTCAAAGCTCAAAACAAACATTGAGTTAATAAATATGGTCTGCTTTAAAAAGTAACTAATGTGGGTGTTTCAGCTAGATTTGAAGAAATATGGCAAACAGATTACTAACTATGTTCTGACAGAGCTGTTCCAGGTTGATGGTCAACACTGGTCAAGACACAACTTCCCAAGTTAGTATTTGCAAACA